GACAGGAAGAAAAAAAAACTTAATTGAATTTCTAAGATATAAAAAGGCACATCTAACAGAAAAAAACAAGTACATTCTTAAGGTTAATTTTGGCTGTGTTGATAGGGAAAGGAGATGAAAGGAGGAGGCAGGGTTGCTGGGAGAACAGGAGAACAAAGATAACATAACAATAGGCTAATTAGTCCTTACACCCCAGAGTGGGGATTGCTTCCTCCAGAGAGGCTGTTGGAAACAAAAGGTCTCCCCCATTAGCTGTGGAATCTGCGTGAAGGCTCCCTTCACTGAGAGACACATGGGTGACCCCTGACACCAGTGCACGTTGTGAATGCACCTGGGAGGTGGAAACCCAGAAAGTCTCTTCTTCAGGAAGCGACTCCCATCTCCAGGGACCTGTGAGACCCGATGATGCAATAAGCTTGGCCCAGCGTTGTTATCCAGACTAATGGGTGAAAACAGAGGAAGAAATAACACGGAGATATGAAATCTCCCCTACCAGAAGCAATATGTTGGCAGGCAATATATATGGAGAAGAAGTATTGTTTTTAATAATGTTGGAATCCCTGAAATAGTCTGGTAATGAATTCTTCCAAAGTAAATTAATCACATACCAAAAACCATCCACAAAAGTACTCTCAGTACTATTCTTTCAATTCATTGCAATGATTATGGCACAACTAGGGATTGGCTGTGACAACACAATGGCTGGCCTGTGTCACTTTTTTTTTTAATTAAATAAGTGAAAAATAAAATTTTAGTTAATAAACATATAATCACTGTTAGTAATATTAAAAAAATCAAATTTAAACTCCAAATTAAATATAGAGTATCCACAAACAATGTATACACACACTGTGAAGAATATAAAGACAGTTTTTATTAAAATACATTTCATTTTCAACACTGAGCTATTTGCTGTTAAAGTGTGTATACATTGTTTGGCAGTACCTTGTCGTTGTGTATTTTGTTCACAAGAAAGTCAATAAGACTGACACCATGTCCTCGCTATGCAAAGGTCAGTGTGATTTTATTTTTTAACTCTATTTGCCCTCGTTTGGATGATTAGAAACCATGGTATAAACCAAAACATAAGATTTTCCCCCCACTCAATTCTCTAGCTCCTGCCCAGTTTTCCTAACAGTATGCATAGTATTTGACTCTACTTTCCTCTCCGGCATTCTCTAACATTCTCTCCTGAGGAAGGAGGGAAATACCGAGCCTCTGCTCTACTTCCACCTGAGGTGGGAGAGAACCACCTGCCAGACACAGCAGTAGGTCTCCTGGGCCCAGTGAGAGGCACCTCACTAGCTCTCTGGGAGTCTCAGTGGGAGTACAGCCCCGCCACCACTGTCCTAAGAAGTGGCAAGGGACCAGGAAGTGGAGAGAAATCATCCCAAGAAAAGAGAGATAGTAGATCATTAGCCACAGTGTTCAAGTCCAGATGTGCCCTGGAGCAGCAGGCTCGGGCTACAAGCAGCTGTATGGGGGTGACCAAAGAGCAGATGAAGGCTTATGAAAGTGTCAAGGAAAATACACTTTCGGGGTCCTAATCTCCAATATTCCACCCCTCCCCCACAGAAATGTGTTTGTTTGTTTTTCCAGTAGATTTTTTAAAATATATTTTATTGATTTTTTACAGAGAGGAAGAGAGAGGGATAGAGAGCTAGAAACATCGATGAGAGAGAATCATCCATCAGCTGCCTCCTACACACCCCCCACTGGAGATGTGCCCACAACCAAGGTACATGCCCTTGACCAGAATCGAATCTGGGACCTTCAGTCCGCAGGCCTATCCTCTATCCACTGAGCCAAACCAGTTTCGGTGGAAATGTTTCCTTAAGAGTCACTGTCTCAGTGGATAAACGACTGAGTGTCAGGTTGGCATTGCAGGAATCATAGCTTAGAGCCTCCTGAAAGTGTCTTCCTCAGAAAAGGGCCTTGACGGGCACAGATCCTGCCCACAACCTACCTATCGTGTGGAAGATTACTCACCATGGCTTTTCCTTTATACAAACATACTGTCAGAATTTCGTCTTCCAAATACGTATTTATATGATTACCTCCTTAGTTTGTTGCTTTAGAAATACTATAATTATAATTTTAAAAATCTATTTTAAAATATCTTCGAGTTAGTAATTATTGTCTGTCATTCTCTTTTTACCAATGCAATTATTCACACATTCCAAACTATTCCACAATGGAATTTGTTTATCAGTTCATATCTTTGTCATCTCCCATTTCTTTGAAATACATGATTCCATCATTTGATTTAAATTTCTTCCCCTTTTTTTAGTAATATTTTTTTATTTTTAAAGAAACAGCTTGTAGCTGAAACCGGTTTGGCTCAGTAGTAGAGCGTCAGTCTGCGGACTGAAAGGTCCCAGGTTTGATTCCGATCAGGGGCATGTACATTGGCTGCGGGCACATCCCCGATAGGGGGTGTGCAAGAGGCAGCTGGTCGATGTCTCTCTCTCATCTGACGTTTCTAGCTCTCTATCTCTCTCCCTTCCTCTCTGTAAAAAAATCAATAAAATATATTTAAAAAAAAAAAGAAAAAGAAAAAAGAAAGAAAGAAAGAAAGAAAGAAAGAAAAAAAAAGAAACAGCTTGTGCCTGGCAGGTGTTGCTCAGTGGTTAAGCATCAGCCAATGAACCAAGAGGTCATGGTGCCATTCCTGGTCAGAGCACTGCCCAGGTTTCAGGCTGGATCCCCTTTGGGGGGCATGCAGGAGGCAGCCATTCAATGACTTTCTCTCACCATTGATGTTCCTATCTCTCTCTTTCACTTCCTTCCACTCTGAAATCAATAAAAAAAATATTTTAAAAAAATAAAGAAAAAGCTTATTTCATATGAGTTACTTGGGAAAACGTAGAGAATATTTAATTTCATGAATTTCATTCATTCAAAGGACTTTGGTACACTATTACAATTCATGAAAGACAGCCCTCTACTTTTATTCAGTAAGTGGTAAAAGTTTAACTGTTTGATATATGACACCATTTTGAAAATTGTAGTCTTTACATGATGCTCAAAAACATACAAGTATCCTTTGAAGTCATTTGAGGGTGAAATTAAAGTTTAGCATTTTATTTGTATGTAAATGCTGAACCAAATCTATTTCAGGAAAGACCAGGCTTACTTTTGTTATTAAGACTGAAGACTATTGCCATATAAAGTTTGCTTGTTTTTCATGAAAAAAAAAATGGTGATATGTGGTACAGCATATTTCCACTGAGGGTTGAGAGAGGAAGTATCCTATATATATAATCCTATATATAATTCATAAATTTAAAATTCTAAAGAACAGGAAAAAAATAAATAAAATAAAATTCTAAAGAACAGAAAAAAAAATTCTAAAGAACAGGACAATGCTACATACTTTATGACAAGGTCATTTACCAGTTTGTTCCTGTTAGTGTCATCTTAGTGGAGGAAACATATTGGAATGTTTAGTAGATGCTTCTGGTATGAACATTCTTTCAGACACTGTTAATTTTCTATGGACTATAAATACCATTAGGTTTCATGAGTTCTCCTCTGGATATTGCTGTGCAAATGAGAACTTCAAAATGATGCACTTCCTGAAATCCATTCACTCTACGCACAAACAATCGAGGCCACTGATTTCTGAGGAAGAATCTATCTCAGACAAAGTGAGGCTGACAGCCACGCCAAGGCTCTCTGTGGGGCGGAAGTGGGGGTGTTCCGCCGCTGAACGCCATTCAGGACCGCGGACAGCTCCCCGCAAGGCCTGAAGTTGATGGCCATTTCCCTGTGTTTCTAAACAGCACTCCAAAGTAATCTGCTTTGTATTGATGTACTTGTTTGCTGTTTCACAGACACCTGCTTAGGCGGCTTCAGTGTGCTCGCACACTCCTTTCGCTGGTTCTTTTTCGAACCCGTTCAGTTAATTCATTAATGAATTAAGGCCACCCCCCTGATGGTGATTAGATTTTCGTGAGCGTTTTTCATGGAAAGCCCAGCTTACTCCGGGAGCTAAAATAAAGTGGCTGCGGGTGTGCGCTCGCCAATAAGAGGATCTACTCCACGACCTTCACTCGATAATCTCTAACCATCCGCGAATGAATACCTGGGTGACAAATAAGAACAGGAAATGTCTTCGTTTTAAGTCTCCGAAGCAGTTAGCCACCCTGACAGCTGACAGCTCCCTGCCCTAGTTCTCCAGCTGGCGAACCGGGAAGGAGGCGTCTGAAATAGACTGGGAGTCAAGGTCAAGAGAGGGTGTCCCTGGGTTCAGGAAGGGAGTCTGGGAACGCCGGCGCCTGGGTCGGGCTGAGCTGCGGTCACGCTCCCGCCCAGCCAGCCCCTCGGCGCCCGGGGCACCCAACTCTCCAGCCTCCGCTGCGCGCAGCGCACGGCCCCGCGGCCAGACTGCCGGCCCCCGTGGGCACAGATGCACCGGGATGGCCAGCGCCTGCGCCTGGGACACAGATGGGTGGACACTCCCGGGGCGAGAGCGGCCGGAGGAGCGGGGACCTGTGGGTGCCTGTCCCCCCGCTGCCCGTCCCGCCTCTGCTCAGCCCGGGAGCGCCGCTTTCCTTCTGGGGAGGGACACACTTCTGGGGGAGACCAGCACGGAACCCCCGAACCACTCTCAGGCGCCTTCCTCACAGTGTCCTCTCCCGAGGAAAAGTTTCCTGGCACAACTTTGCGTCCTCCCACCAGGGTCCCTGTGGCCTTTTTCTCCGTTGGGTCCGCAAAGTTGGCGAGGCAAAGGGGGCAGAGGGGCTGGGGGGGGGGGCTGGATCAGGGTCTCAGGAACTCCGTCCTGGGTGGAAACTAGTTGAAGAACGGGGCTCAGGCCCATTGGGGGCTCCCACGGCGCCACCCTCGCCCTCCTGGCGCCTCGGCTGCCCCCCTCGCCTCCCCAGCCCCGCGCCCTCCCCGCGCCCGGAGCCCGGAGCCCGGAGCCCCGAGCCCCGATCCCGGTGCCCGGCGAGCGCGGGGCGCGGGGCCCCGCCTGGGGCGCGGGGAGCGGGTACCTGAAGTCGCTGTAGGGGTGGATGATCCAGAAGCCTGCAGTTTTAACCCTTTCCTGCTCCTTCTCCACCGCCTTCTGGCTCCCGAACATGCGGAGGGAGAATTTGTTGACGCCGGGCTGCAGCATGGAGGTGAACTGCCTCTGCATGAAGCCGTACTGCCGCCGGGGCCCCTCGGCGTCCTCCAGGCCCCCGGCCGGCTCCTCGCCGCCGCCGCCGTCCACCTTGAAGCACACGGAGTTGCCCAGCTCCTTGGCGCCCGGCCCGCCGCCGCCCCCCGCCGGGCTGCCCAGCCCCTTGTCGGCCCCGCTCGACCCCGCGCCCGTCGCGGGCGGCTTGGCGGGGAAGACGCTGTTGCCATCGTCCCGGCTGCTGGACGACGAGTTGGGCTTGCAGCCTCCTTCCATGCCCGGAGGACGCGGCGGCGGGCGGGACGCGGCGGCACGGGCTGCACCCTCTCCGGGGGCTCGAGGCTGCGGGGCGGGAGGGGGCGAGCCGGCTGCCCGGCTGCCCGTCGCGGCGGCGGCGGCGGCGGCGGCTCCTGCTTCCCGCCCGCCCGCCCGCTGCTCGCTGCGCGCTGGCTCCGCCGCCGCCGCTGCCCCAGTGGCTGCTCGCTGCGCGGGGCTGGGCTGGGCTGGGGCCGCCGGAGCCGGAGCCGCCGCTCAGCCCCGCAGCGCCGCCCCGCGGCTGCCCCCTGCCGGCCGGAAGGGTCTGCACGCCGCACGCCGCTGCTCTCGCTCCGCTCCTGCCCAGCGTGTGACATTGAACTTGGAACCCTGGGAGACACTTCATCTTACACGATGTGAGAGTGGGCGGCGTATGCGTATGCGTAAAGAGGAGGGAGGCGGACTGAGCTGGCGGGTGTATGTTCACCCAAGAGAAACACACGTCCTAAGCATCACTGGGTCACTGTCACCCTGTGGGGCCGCCTGTGTGAATGGTGGTACAGATGGGGAAAAGGGACAGGGGTGGCCGGCTTCGCAGGCAGGAAATGCACGAGAAAGTAAGATCTGCCAAATGGATGATAAGTTGCATGAGCAGAAGGGAAGTTCAGTGTGTGTGTGTGCACATGTGTGCGTTGGAAGGCTAGCGCAGACAGCAGAAGCTACTGTGTCTGGGTAACTCCGATTAGTCAGCCGCTTAGGGCTTTTCAGATGGAGCTCTGTGCCCACTGACAACTGACCTCTTTCCTCTTATCCCTGCTTATTCTCTCAGGCCTCCCTAAGCAGGGGATGGGATGTCTTTCTCCCCAAGGCCACGCACACCAACACACCTGCCAGCAGGTAGGTGGGCCCCTTCACTGAGACAGAAGTGTGCTGAGAGTCCTGGCCTGAGCCGACCTATCTTTCAGGCAGACCTAGGGAGAGGCGTGCGTGTTGGTTAGTGTCCACCTACACCTGGCCAGGAGCGAAGGGGACTTAGAATTTAGGCAGAAAGCAATCACCGCTTAGATGGAGAAGAGTTTCCTCAAATGAAATCTATAGGGCGCTTGCTACTAAGGCTGTAGCAGGCATGCAGGGATCCTCTTCCCCCCTCTGTGTCTCCCAAACCCCCCGGATTAGCGACAGGAAACAAGATGTACTGCCAAGCTCACCAGTCACTCAGCGGGGCAGCCCAGCATGTCCCCAAACAGTCTTGAGGCTCCCCCTCCCCCATCCCTCTGCCCTGCGGAGTGGCTGGTGAGCTGGCAGTACATCCCTCTCTTTCCACTTAAGAGCAGAACAATGTCTATTTTAACATAGATCTTAAACGCTATGGTAATGTAAAGCTATACCCTCTAACTTGGAATGCTTAACTGGATTTAAGTCGCCTTCTCTTTTCTTCTAGCCAACCCTATTTGGTTCTGTTTCAACGTCATCTTAGTCATGACCAGGCAGTTATTTTAAAAACGGCAGCATTTTTCTGACACCAGCATTGTCTTCCTGTCCACGGCCTGTTCCAAGGAAACCCTGCCCTGCCAAGCATCCCTGGTCTCAGGGGGTCCTGTCTGCTGTAGCCACATTTGGTGGGGAGAGGAGCGGGCACCTCAAGGAGAGAATCTGTGACACGCTGGCCACCGATGGCCTGGCATGACAGAGAGGAAGCCTACTAGCAATGGGAGAAGCAAGAATGAGGACAAAGGAGGAGACCTGGATGCCTTCACCGGGGTTGAGCAGGGCAGAGAGAGGGAGCAGAGAGCAGAGGAAAAGACAGGGGGAAGCAGAACCAAGAAGCCATTAGGCCCAACTGCATTCTAATTTTTTTTATGATCTCCCTAACCATTCTACTTACCGCAGCCTATGCTAAGTCCTTCAGGGAGTCCCATCCTGACTCAGACGCCAAATGTTTTCAACTCATCAAAACATAAAATCCTGTGGCTAAATAGGAACAATATTGTGCTGTGACCTACCAAAGCAGGGACTTTGGAAACACAAATGCCAGAGGAGGATAGCAGATGCCAAGGGCCAGAGAAGCAAGGGGATGGAAGAAGCAAGCGTGCCTAGAGCCCAGCCCTTCCCAAGGAAGGCCCAGGCACCCAGGCATTTGCATTACTAGCCCCTTCTGCATGCTTCTCCAACCCCTCTATTTTCAGTCAGGAGTGGAACAATGTATATGTTAGCATAAATTTTAAATGTTATAATAATGTAAAAATATACCATCTAAAATGTTATGCTGAGTTTAAGTCACTCTCTCTTTTCTTTTAGCCAATCCTATTTGTTCTATTTCAACTTCATCTTATGCATGACCAGGCAGTTATTTTGGTCAGAATTTTTCTTGGTTTCAAGGTCTGTACTGAACTAATATGACAGAACTACTAAAAAGCCAATTTTCAAAATAGAACAAGGAAATAGCTAAATAGGGTCACAGTCATTGGTTGGTCCAGGTGCAGCCTGTAGGTCCCTTTTCATTCATTCTCATTCTCAAAATACGCATTTTTACAATTTGGGGACTGTGTATGATACTCATTTATTAAGGCTGTCAGCGATAAAAAAAAAAGGGGGGGGGCAAGTTTCTTTACTGTACTTTCAGATTGTTGACTACAAGCCATTTAGAATGTGAACTTAAACAAAAAAACTCCCTCTGAAAAGAGAGAGCTGGCAAGGAGATTAGGAGTGAAACGTACAAAAGAATGAAAACAATGAGACAGGCAGAATCAGCAAATACGTTTTAAAATGGGATTCGGTTGTGAAACTAGACTTTGAGTGGTTAGAACAGATACATGTCTTTCTTTGTTTAATTGTTCCATTCTATTTCTGAACCCACTGAATGAATTAGAACAGTTTTTTGAGCAAGAAATAAACCAGGGGCCGATGACCATTTGCTCAGCAGGAGTGAGTGAGGAGATGAGAATCACAGAGAAGAGCAAGTTAGACTCTGCTCGCCTTTAACTTCCCACTCTCCAGCCCCAGATCTAAGTCTTACCTTCCCATTGTCACTTCCATTTTTCCATCACCTCTCCCTTCCCTAACCCATTCCAGACACATATGGACCACATCTCAAGACAGGCCTGCAATTTGAGTATAACCTCTTCTTAGCATGTCTGTTGATTAGAGTGGTAGGTTTTGTTGTTGCTTTCAGTCATCTTAGAAATAGGATTACCATCATGTTTGACTCTATGTCATTCGATGTCCATGTTGTCAAGCAAAGTGCCTGGTATTTGAGAGGGATCTAATATCTGAGGACTCATCTGAGACCATCAATTACAAATTTATTTCATGAGCATGGCCCAACAGTAGTCGGAATGGGTGCTGTTCAGGGCATCCCAGGATTATGCATCTTGTAAACAGTTCCCTGTTTCCTTTAATACTCTGCTTAAGAGCAAATTGCAGGCAGCAGCAGCAGAAGATTCATATGAAACTAAAATAAAATCGTGCAGCAGACACAGGCACGTGTAAAATGAGACAGAAAAGATAGATGGGCAACTTGAAGTTTGACAGCTTATCGAAAAAGTCTCAGTGGAACTTAAAGGTTTAAAAAATAAAATGTTAGTCCTCTTAGTAGGATACAGAAATAGGTTAAACATGCATGTCACATGTAAGGAAACAGTGCTGACTCTGTCTGTGTTAAAGAAAGCAAAAGAATAGTTGACCAAAGGCAACCTCACAGCCTCTCTGAGTCTTATGCTCAGGGAAACTCAATTATCCATCTGGAGAGCATCCAGCAATATCATGCTTATATGAGGCATCGGAGCTGCTAAAGTCAGAGCAGGACACTCATACCCAGCATGCCTGCAAAGTGTAATATTTTTAGTTGATAATATTGCTTCCCTGGAGACCCAGAAGAATCAACAGTATAATCATTATAGTTAATAACAAAATTTGGAAAGTAAAAACGGAGTCAACATGGAAACATTATATTAAAAGTGAAAGGATGAAAAGAGATAGTCCATACAATAGTAACCAAAAGAAGGCAGGGGTGGTTATACTAATATCAGAAAAAATGGGCACATATAAGAATCAACCAGTGAATGCATGAATAATTGGAACAGCAAATGGATGTTTCCCCTCTCATCAATAAATTAAATAAATAAAGTTATGAGATAAAGGACATTGTTTATTAATAAAAGATAATACAGTAGCCCAAGCCGGTTTGGCTCAGTGGTAGAGTGTCGGTCTGTGGACTGAAGGGTCCCAGGTTCGATTCCGGTTAAGGGCATGTACATTGGTTGCAGGCACATCCCCAGTGGGGGGTGTGCAGGAGGCAGCTGGTCGATGTTTCTCTCTCATTGATGTTTCTAGCTTTCTATCTCTCTCCCTTCTGCTCTGTAAAAAAATCAATAAAATATATATATTTTTTAAAAAGATAATACAGTAAAAATATTTAATAATTATAAACTTTATACACATAACAGATCATCAATATATATGAAGCAAAAGCTGGCAGAATTAAAGGGGAAAATGAATACATTTTCAGTAATAGTTGAAGACTTCAATATCCTACACCTAATAATGAATAGAACACCAGACAGAAAATAAGCAAGAAAACATACAACTTAAGTAACACAATAAACCAATTAGACATGACAGAACATTCTATACAAGAACAGCATACACCTTCATCTAGGAGATTTGCTAGGCCACAAATGAAGGGTTCTCAATTGTGCTTTAAAAATAGCTATCATACAAAGTACCTCTTCTGCCCACAGCAAGAAGTTAGAAATTAATAACAGAAATAAAACTAGAAAACTTATTAATGTGTGAAAATTAAGCAACACACTCTTAAACAACCAATGGATCAAAGAAGAAATCACAAAGAGAGCTGGAAGAATCAGACAAATATACTACATGAAGAGAAAACTACAGACCAATATTCCGTATGAACACTGATGCATAGGTCCTCAACCAAGTTACAGCAAACCAAATATAGCAGCATTTAAAAAGAACTATGTATCTTACCAAAGGATTTATTCCTGAATGCAAGGATGGTT